TTATTTTATTTTATTTATATTTAAAAATTAAAACAATTAATATATTTTCCCATTTAATTAGTCCCACCTACCATTTAATAAAATTAAATAAAAGTTAATTAATTTTTTCATGAATTAGGAAATAATTTTATTAATTGAAAATTGAAGTTGAATGATGTTTTTGGTACTTTCTAAAGTTCAAGAATGAATTGGTTAAAAATAAAAGTTAAGGGACCAATTCAGATATTTAACCTAAAAAATATGCTAACCACATCAGCATCACCACCAATTAATCCTTAAATAGAAAAAGTTGAAAGTTGACATTCTTATTTAGAAACTGACAAAATTAACATTTTTAAATAAAAAAAAATACAAAGTTTAAATCTTTATTTGCATCTTTACTCTCTAAAGTTATGTAAAAAAGTCAAGATAGTTAATTTAATTTAACAGGGAGGGTGTAGTGTTTTGTTTAAAAGAAAAGAAAAAAAGCATCCTATTTTACTATAAAATAGAATTTTTAATATCAAAGAACTCACTTACCATTAGATCTGGCAAAATTGAATCCAATTCGAAAATCTGACCCAATCCATCAATTATGGGTTGGGTAATGAGTCTTATGTATTAATCCAAAATTTAAAATGATATGGACTGAAATTATTCAAACCCAAATGAGTTGAGTCACGAACGGGTCGGGTCACCTGAAATGACTTAAATTTTTAATTTTCTAATCCTAAAAGTATAAATAAATAAAATACCCAAACCCTAACTTTTTGTCAGTTTCTCTTTCTCTCAACTTTTCCTCTTCTCCACTCTTACTCTCCCCTTCTTCATCTCAAGCTCTTTACTCCTTTTCTTTAGTGACACTTGCGTCAAAAATTAAATTAAGTAACATATAGTGAGTTGTGTCGTATGATATTGTCAAAAAAATCTTTTTTTAAACAAAAAATAGAAAGGAAGAATGTTTACTAAAAATCAAAAGCTAGTGGTCGAGTTACTCTCACATCATTAGAAATACAATGATAAGAACATAAAAAACATCAAGATTTGATCTTAATTACTAATTTGTTCTAAATTACTAATTTGTTCTCAATTAATAATTTGTTTCTAGTTAATAAAAATCAATTCTAATCAAATTTTTTCTTGTATTTGTTTAGACATATTTTAAATTTATTTTTAAAACTTTAATATTGAATAGGATTATATTTTTTGTATAATGCCCTTTTAAATATTGAATAAAATTATATTTTTTTGTATAATACCTTATAAATATCAAATAGATACTAGATATTAACATATATATTGAATTTGTCTTTTGAATTTTAATCCTTCATATTTCTACTTTTAATAAAGGTTAGTGTTTTTATGAAATTATAAATTCTAAATATTGTATAAGTATTATATATTTGACATATGTTTTAGTTTCATTTATATAATTAGTAATCTTTCCATTTTCTTTTCTTGATATTGAAATGAAAATTAAATCATAAAATGAAAATTAGTGTTTAATAAAAATTTCTTATTAAATAGTTAATTAGTATTAGATTTTGTTAAATAAAAATATAGAAAAATATAAAAAATTTTAATTTTAATTTTAAATTTTTAGAAGTTGAGTCCACTCGACTTAATCCGAGACCCGTGTAGGTGAGTCATGAGTCTACCCTTTCAATCCAACACTTAAAATGATCTAATTTAAAAAACCTAAAATCCAAGATGACACAATCCAAAACCACTTAATCCGACCCGTTTGCCAGCTCTACTTCCCATCAAACAATTATTGTTTTATAGGTTAAAAT